CTTTAAAGTTGTCCAAATTAAGTTCTTAGCAATGCATATTACTAATCAAAAATTAAGTTTTTATATATTTACGATAGGAAATTTACAAAATATCTTCATGGAACATGATCTTTACTTAATATCCTAATGATTTTTGGCATAAAAGAAACATTTATCATTTTGACCCATACATGGCTATTGCTACAAATATACAATAACTGAGCTTCTGCTTTCTATTACATACATAGCATCAGACCGTCACAATACACTCACAGAAACGCTTTCAATGCGATTAATAAGTCACCATAATTTTATATTATAAAGTTTCTAATTTATTATAAAGTATAATATAAAGTGTTTAATTTATATTGTATATAGAAAAAAATTATATATAAAAATGTAATAAAACAGGCATTACTTTTATGTATTAGTTGATTGTTTATATTTTCTATTTTAATAAAAAAAAAAAAATTCCGACACTGCATGTGTCATTACAAAAACTGTAAATAAAAAATAAATAAATCATGTATCAAATCAAAATAATAAAAAAACTTAAAATAAAAAAAAAAAAACATATTTACTTGAGTGAATAAAATGTCAGATTTTATTTCGATTGTACCATTTTTGCATTCAAATGCAAATGTTTATTTTAAATTCGACTAATATTTTTTATTCACAATCTCCTCATCACAGGCAGGCACAGCACTCAATTCAGCATGTGTTTGTGTTCGTGTGAGCTGTCTGCGTCACTTATAGCACGTGCCTATATCATGCGCTATATCGAACATTTATAATATCGTTATCGATGAAGGTGTACCGTCGATAAATATCGATACCGTTTTATCACCCAGGCCTAATATACCGTATTGGCCCAAATATAAGACGACCCCCCTTTTTCCAGATGTACCTTTTGAAAAAAGGCTTTTTAAAAACCAAAAACTTAAAATAAAAAAAAAAAAACATATTTACTTGAGTGAATAAAATGTCAGATTTTATAATAACATTTCATAAAACACACAATTATGTAAAAATTCGCGGTTTTGGCGAGTTACCTCGTAAACAGTCTTGAATGAGTTATAAAGATTTAAATGACCGTAACGAGTTTGGAGAAAATCAGATATGTGTCAGATCCGTGTCATGTGCATCAGGTTTTAAAGAGACAGCGCTGCTTTTAAAGTGAAACCTGCTGAAGTCTGTCAGTGATGTAAATCAAAGAACAAAAGAAACAGAGAAATCACTCAGTCGTTGATTAACTAGCTTAAATAAAGATTAATCTGTATAGTTTATGCATATACAATTTATAGTTTATGTGAAGATTTCAGAGCCTATTAAATGTTCAAAATAATGGCTTTCAATTATACTGTAGTGTTGAATGGCTATAATTAATAGGTCAAATTGAGGGAAAATGCATTTAATAGAGACACCAGCAGCAGTATTGGTATCAATACTTCATTAATAATAGGCTACTTAGTAAAAAGATGCAATTAAAAACATATTTAAAATATACTATTCAATGTGAAATTATGACAATATAAATATGCGATTAATCATGATTAATTATAGAAAAATATGTGATTAATAATTTTTTTACTAACTAATGTTAAGCTGTTATATATTTTAGATTTCAATTTAATTTCTAATTTGATAGGTCCCCCCAGAAAGAGATCAGGGCGGCCCCCTTCACATTTTCAGTTCGATAATCCGGCCCTCAAATGAAGCTAATTGAATAGCCCTGCTCTAATCCATTAACATGGGTGCGGAAAAAAATACGCACCGCAAACGGAGTATGTGTGAAACAGTTTGACGAAAACATGCAAAGGACAAGAATCTCAACATTTTTTAGGGACAAAAAAAAGATAAATCAATAAATCTGTAAAGTAAAGTAAAGGACAAATTAAAAACATTGTAAATATGTTTAGTCATTGTAGTAGTAATGACTGCCTGTTTTTGCAAAAAGAGTTTCATGGCCGGTATAGCAAAAAGTTAGTTTTAGGCCCTGTGTGTGTGTGTGTGTGTCTGTGTGTGTGTGTGTGTGT